AATCAATTATTATTTTTCATGCTTTTTTCTGCCTGAGATGTTGCTGCAGTACAGTGTTCATGGTTTTGCACTGGTCCAGACCAGAGCAGAGAGGATTTATGGTCCGAACCAAGCGGATCAGGTGAAGGTCCACTGGAGGAATGCTCACTTTTTGAAAAATGCTAATGAAGCATTTCGCATTTTACTTTGGACTAGAGCAGAGAAAATGCTCCAAACCAAGCGGGTCCTCCACCTTTTGACCCGTCCTGCTCCACCCAGAGGCTACTCCACCTCTGCTGCTGTGACCCGTCCTGCTCCACCCAGAGACTACTCCACCTCTGCTGCTGTGACCTAAGGGGCTGTTGCTGATTATTATTATTGTTATGTTTTCGGAATGATCAATTTTATTTTTATTTTTGCTGCTGCTGGACACCTGAATTTCTCCTTCGGGGATCAATAAAGTATCTATCTATCTATCTTCATCCAATGTATTTTTTCACATTAAATCATGAATATCCATATTTTATTGTTTTTGTTGTTGTTCAATATTCAATGAGTGAATTGAATGTGATGCTACAGTATGTTGTTTTAGTGATATTTCAACAAGCTATATAACTGGATACAGTATAACTCGGAAAGCACTCGTAGAGGGCAATCCTCCGCCAAGAGACATAGTTCCATCCATTTTCATCCCCTTATTCCATTTCTGGGTCTTGGGCTGGCAATTGGAGCTGCAACCGAATTCACCGGCCCCTCAAACCCACAACTATCAGGCTCGAAGGCAAATGTCCTGCCAACTGAGCCCCTGTCACCCCAGATACCAACTCATACCGCTTTGATATAACATTGAGCTGCAAGATAAATTCTCGCAAAAAAGTGATAGACATTCTGTTTGATTACAGAGTAGCTTCCATCTCTATCTTTGAATGTTGACTGAGCAATCACAGAACAACATTGTGCTTGGGAGACAGGCTGCAGCACAAGGATGGTTGTGCGAGGCTGAAGGGCTGGACCTTGGAACCATAACAAAGATGGAAGAGCAGTGGAAGGTGCTGCTGTTAACACGGCTAATAATCCTGTCCGACTTTAGAAACATGTGACGAGAACAATGTGCCAGGCTTACAGGACTTGGGGAATCCCTTAGCCTTTGGACTACTGCAAATGCATCGTCTTAAGGAGCAACATAAGCACTTTGAAACATATTTAGTCAAAACATAACAATAGAGAAGGCAGCATGAGCTCAAGCCCAAACATTGATCTGTAATTTTTACACCTTTCTTCCGACCCACATGTGAGTAACTGGCTCCAAAACTGTGGGTCATATGACTTGTATAATTCGCTGCTTCATTGTTTAAACAGTGGCATAGTATACTGAGAGTCTCCACAGGCTGTTCATCTTGTTTTTGCGTATGGCGTTATCACCGTTTACATGTTTGAAGGGTTCAGGGCGTACATTAGGACGCATATCAGCTAAAGGTCCTCATTCAAATACAGACAATAAATCATTTTTACAGTACAGTCTCTATTCTGTGTTTAACATTGAATCCATCCCTGGAGAAGCACAGTTTAAAGCTGCTATATCATGCACCAGCTTTGATAATAAAACAAAATAAAGTCAGTATTTCCAACTTGTCACGGCAGCATCTTCCTGATTGTCTTTCATAAACTGAGCACGGTAATGAAGCGTAGTTGTTGGAACGATCGGTGGATTGCTATTGTCTTCAAACATAATTACAGCGATGGAAAGGGGACCAACCCGTGGGGAGGAAGAGGAGGTTTAATTACTGATAAGGAGATGAAATTCTACACTTGGAGATAACGTTGTTGTGAGGACTTAAGTCGCCCAAAACTCACTGAGCCCCAATCGGATCTGCCTGCTTTCTATTGTACACCAGCAAGGAAGTGCAAGGCACCCCAAAACTCACAGAGAGCCAATCCGTTCTGTCTGCTTTAACTGTCATCCCAAAACCAATTCAATTCGTTAAACGGCATTTGATTGATTGCTCGATAACCTATGTCAACCATAAAATAATATTAAAAATGTTTCCAAATTTTCCAAACAGCAAACAATAAGGATGATGGGATCTTCTTCTGGCTCAAAATTCTCCTTTTTCAAACTTGTCACACTATGACATCATGAACGGAGCAGTTTTATGCTTCTAAAACAAAATAAATTGCCTTTTATTTTTGTTTTATAAAGGTCTCCAGTCAAAGGTTTGTCCTTTATAACTTTTGACCATCGCTGACCTTCAAGTCAATGTTAGATTCAGATTGAAACCCATCACGATTGAATTGCAACTGCTCTAGAGGGGAGTGTTGTGCGTCATGTGAATGCGTATGTTTTGTACTTCAATTATTCCACATTCTAAAACTTGAAATATGTGTAATCTCATGGTGAAGTTTCAAAATTGAACACATTTATGGCATACATTGTGTTACTCTCCATTTTCCATGGCTCCTGTTTCCCTCGGAAACAGGTGGTAGACGGTTGGTTTCCGCGGCGCTCCTCATTCAGAAAATATTTTAATTCCGACTACGCAAACAAAGTGATGTCAGTGACTTAACCCAATGTCACAGTAACAGGAAGATCAGCCACCAGTTTATGTGACGGACATTTGCAGCAGACATTCAATGTTTCTTTGAATGGAACAGCAATAATGGAATAAGAGATTGTTAGAATGAGCATTGGCCACCGACTCGCACTGATGTCTGCTGCCGTTGTGTCTTTGGGCAAGACACTTGACCCCACTTTGCCCAAAGCCCCCGCTGAAAGATCAAGGCTATGCTCACACTCAGAGAGCAGCCGTCCTCCTGTGGACTCACCACCTGCAGAGGGTCAGTGAGGGGCTGGTGCTATGTGACTTGGGTGGCATCTCTGATTGCCACCCCCCTGACCCAGAAATGGATTAAAGGGTAGAAAATGGATGGATGATTTTATTGCTTTAAACTAGATCATGCATTTTATTTGTGATAGTGGAATTGTATGGGTTATCATTTACATGAATGTGAATATATTCAGTCTAGACACATTTTGGGTTGACCAACATTGGAGTGTGGAAATCTACAACTGAGGTATTGAAACCAAGCTACTAATTATTCACATTGTCCACAATTGGGGTGTTTTGTGAAAACTGTTGCAAGACAATGTCCAACAAGTGGTTAATGTTTCTATCTTGTGGGGCCATTCTGTGTGAGGGTGTGGGTTATCTGTTCTGAAATAAATAAGCCGCCTGCTTATTTATTTCAGAACAGCTACAGCTATATCTTTACAGCTTGGCAGCTGTAGAACTTAATCAGTCCTCACAACTTTGAGGGGTTTTTTTCTCCTCCAGTGCAGGTTTTTGTGGCAAACTGTTTACCACTCAGAGAACACTAGTCTTGCCTGTGTGTTATGGCAGATTCAGGGATAGGAAAAGTCATGTTTTACCCAAATTCTTATTTAGTGTAGTGTAGTGTTAAACTAAGATTTGCCAAAGGGAAAAAGCAAAAATGTATTGATTTAAAAGACTCAAGAAAATACTCTCTTGGAATCAGAGAGATGTATTATATAAGGTCAATGCATTACTTTTGAACACAGAATACATAAGTCAAATTCAGGATAACTGTAAGCCTGGGTCAAAATACAGAAAATGGCAAAAAAAAAGATAGACCAGGATGATATTTGACCTTTTTTTCCAGTTTATTTGGATAAGGAATGTTGTACAATACTTCTATACAGGAAAGCGCCACAACAACGAGCAAGATATTCTACCGTTCATTGTTTGGGATTCATTTGACAATGGAGTTTCATTATATCGCAGAAAAGTCAATATTGCAGAACTCCTAACGCCCCACAATAAACACATCCACATCCTGAACGGCACAGAGGAGCATTCAGCCCCGACAGCGACGTGACAATCATCCATCACGAATGCCACACACTGTAAGGCCGCACGCTTTCACTGCTGTCAACAAGTGGGATGTTTCTGCTCAAAATGCAAACCGAGCGGATTTGGAATGCGCCTGTGTGTTTGGAGCAGGTGCAAAGTTGAACGGGTAATGGTCTTTATAAAGAGGAGACAAGAATTGGATTTGGAATTTATGTATTGGCGTTTTGGAAAGGATAAATAATGCATTGACAATTTGGAGAATGCAAAACTACCAGGCGGCCATTAGCGTCACACTGGTCTGTAAAAGGGTATTGCAATGATTTTAATTATAATATTTTTACAAACATTTTGAGTCCTTCTGCTGAGTATTCAAACCTGTAGGGCTATGGTGAATACATGTCCTTGTAGAGCTTTTGTCTCGTCATTTCATGTTTTACAACGTTACATTATATTTTAAGTGGAAAATACATAGTGAAAGGTATATCCCTTATTAAAATGTATTTTTTTAAATAATAAATTAATTTCACCAGAGAAATTTACAAAGTTAATTTAGGGGCATCTTTTTTGTTTTAAACAGCCAAAAGAAATCCCTCAGTGTGAAGTCATACATTATTACAGGACTGAGAAGCTTTTAGACAGAAGGGGCGGAGATACGTGTTTCTGCTGGAAGTTTCTGATACTACTGTGGATGGATCTAAAAACAACTCCAGGTGTGTGTAAAAGCTCAAAAAACTCAATTTTCCATAAAATATCTTCTTTGAAATGTCTAATATGTAACATCCATGACATCTGATGGGTAGGGGACTTTAATTCATTAACAATTTCCAAGATCCTTTGGGACAAATGAAGACTTTCTTACAGGGCTGTCAAATTCACCAGTTTCATGCAGACAGCCTCTCTAATTAATCATCATGTCTTTTTTATCCTCATTAGTTAGCGCTGTAAAAAAAAGAAAATGTCAAAAACACTCAGACCCAAGTGTTTGACAGAACAAAAATGAACAGAAACAGAAGCTTTTCTTAACAATGTTTGAAAGTCAGTGGAGTGGACAGTAAGTGGACGGTCCTTGGACTGTGGCAGATGGAAAAATGCTGTGATAAAAAGCATTCCTGTGTGTTTGTGTGCTCTCTTAAGTATGTATCTTGTTAATACCTGTAGGAGAAGGTCGGACGCGGGCTTGATTTTCTGCTGAAACAAAATGCTCAGAGCCCGATTCTGCTGCTCCAGGTCGAAAACTCGCGTACGCAGTTTCACGCACTCTTCGCGAAGGTCCTGCAGGAAATACATGCAGTTATGACACTGAACTGAAACAGCCAAAGAATTAAGTATTACGTTACCATTGCAATGTTACAGAAAAATTTGAGCCGATACGGTGTTAAATGAAAAAGTGTTTGCAAGAACTAGGCAATAATAAAGACAATTGAGAACGCAGGAGAAATTATAGAAGGGAAACTGGCAGATTTTTATGGCTTTGAAGGTGCACTGAGTAACTTTCTGCTATAGACTCTGATTAAGTAAACATGTACATATAACATAACAAACTGAACTGTCAACTTGAATTACAAGGATATCTTTTTATTTTTGTAGTCCTTCTGTCTGTTTCAGTTGACTAGATTTACTTTCCCCTTTTGCTTGTCACAGGTTAAAGTGTGTTCTTGAGCGCAGTGTTTGTTTAGGGTCTGTTTTGGCTTCTGGGATTCAAAAGTGGGATGTCCATTTCGACTTGTATCATTCATTTTTATTTTTAGCTTTTGTTATTTAACACAAACAGAACACAATGACCACAATAAGAGCAGTACCATCATACCAATACTAGAAACAGCCTCACCTTTGCTTCTTTATGGCGTATGCTTTCACTAAAACCACTGCATCCATCACATATGTCTAATCTACTCAATGTTAAGAATGCAGCGGGTCTCTTAATACTGGCACTGGTTTCCACGGTAACATACCTTCTGAGTGAGCAGCGCCTGGACGACTTGATTGGCCACCTGCAAACACCAGATAAAAACACACGTCAGCTTGTGAAGGAAGTTTCATGTGGGGAGCTTCTATTCGTGGCTCTCAGCTTCCTGTTTTTTATGCACTGTTTTGAGACCTTTCAATTGTATTTAGAATAGAAATATAACACCTTATTTTTGTCCATTATCAATGACAATAAAAGTATATCTACTTTATAATGTCATGATTCCGAACGTGAAATAATAAAAATAATTCCTGTGTTCTAATTATTTGATTCTCAAATCCTCTGAGAAGATAGGTGTTGTGAAATAGGGCTACATATAAATATACTAAATATACATTGAATTTTCATTTTAAAACACCTATGGAGTGTAAAAAAACTAAAACTTTCTCTCTGTAACTCCCTTTGCTGCCAGAAGTTCCTGATGTTAGCGTGGATGGATCAAAAAACAACTCCAGGTGTGTGACTAATATAAATCGATCCTAAAAGATTTCTAAGGGCAAAGAACCTCATTACCTATGATCTTAAAAACTATGGACATTTTTATTTCATAATGTGTTTTTTGGGGTGCATGCAATCATTTACACATACATATTGTTGTGAATAGAAAAAAGTCTTCCACAAGTGACTTATTTCCAGAGTATTAAGTTTCATATATGTTTGAACAAGACAAATCAGTCACAGCTTTCAATTTCCCTCCCATCGTACTTCGTAGCCAATCGCTGCGCGTTGAAATGACTTATAGACACAATATAATGTTTGAGACAGAAACCGTTCAGCTTCGACAGCAGCACTTGACTTGCCGTTCCCACTCCCATTACAGCGTGCTCCTCAGCATGGCCGTGTTGAGTGGCCTTTGAGCACGGCACTTCCCCGACCGCAGCCCGGCTCGCCTTACAAACCATTGATTTCTCATTATTACGGTGTGAAGCCACAGCGGCGCTCTCTCACACATGATTAGGGATCAGCAGAATGTGGTTAAATGAGCCCTGCTGAAGCTCGTGTGCAAAAACAGGACTAGTGACCTCTGGAGGCTGAACAGCTTACATTTTTAATAGCCTTTATTATGACACCACCAGAGGGAGGTGTAGAATTTGTAAAACACAAATTTGAAATGACAATTTTCACCTTAGCAATGACTAAAACTAGTTCATGGTAAAAACAATTTGTTTTAAAACTGCTCCGAGTATAATGAAATACCTGAAAATATGATGGACAGGTGAAACTCATATCGATCCAAAGTCCAATTGCTTCTGTGGTTCTAGTTACTATATCAAACCAATGTAAGGCAGACTCATCACAAGATATGCCTGTATTTGTTTATGCTGCTGGAGATAAGTGATTTCAACATTGTAACTGTCAACTTAAATGAAGGGACCCTTGTGGAGCTCATACTGCATTCTGCAGATTTAGAATGGGAGAGTAAAGAATAGGACTGATTACTGGACATCATCCGATTTTGCAAGCTGGCACTTCTAATACTTGGGCAGATCTTTGGGTAGGCTCAAACAACTTTGGTTGGTTGACTTGTCAGAATTCTCTGCAGAGCCGTCTCTGACATCCATCTTCCTCTGGTCACAACTTCACACCAATACATTTTCCTGTATCTACAAGTGAACTGCCACATTTCGCTGGCCCATCACCCCTTGACCTCGCTCACTGGCCTCCCTAGTGGTGAGATGCCACCATACGCTTACGCCTGCTCTCTCCCTCTCCTGGGGCTCCCCAAACGATTTGCTCCCGCAAAAAAAAAACAGGGGGAAGTGAGTCTGTGCTTGTTATGTAAATTACAGCATTCACATCACCAGTTCACGCCAGGTTAACGACTTGGTTTATAGTGAAATTAATATTCTTTGTGGGGGTACAGGAAAGGGCCCGAAACCGCCAATTAAAAAGCCATTAAAAGTATATCAACTCACCTGAAGAGGACGTCAGGGAGAAAACAGCAACGCTTACTTTAGCTGGCCAAGTTTTGGAATTAATTGCTATTACAGCCAATTACGCCAGCTCCTGGTTTACGAGGGAGAAATATTGACCACTTGTGGGACATCCCTTTACTGTTATGGCTTGTTTTGCTCACATAAAGTTTAGACAAGAGAATTAGATGGGCTGAGAGCAGGCTGTTTGGGTTTATAGGTAATGATGCTTTAGCTCTACAAAGTATATTTAACGTGAAGCCGCAGGGGAACCACTGCTGAAACGCTGCTTGTCCGTTCACAAATTTAACCCAGCTTCTGTTGCGTCCTAAGACGTAAACATATACACGTATACATAGACTGTATATATTAACGGACGTAGTCACACCTATCTCCCCCGTTCTAACAAATGGGCCAAAAATTGGGCTGTACTGGAGTGATTCAAAAAGGCCGCAGGGGATGAAAAAACGCATCTGCACATGCGTCAGCCGGCACGAGCCCCATTTATTTAAACGAGTGACTTCAAAAATTCACAGGGACTAAAAATTAACTCCCCTCAGCATTGACACACATGTGGAACGGAGCTTTGGGCCAAGAGCTAACTTTTGGACCATCCTGTAAAGACGTTTTTGAGAGGTAAGCAGATGCTAAATGTTAGCATTGGCTAATTCATATTCCGGGTCCACCCCCACAGGCCCGGGGTGGTATTGCAGCATGTCAGCGCACGTCATTTCGGCCACTTTTGAGCTGGGACCCGCCCCCACTTGTCCTAAGGCAACACACTTTGACTTCACTTAACTGCAATGCACGTAGTGAGTGACGGAGGGTACATTGGCAGCCATATTTCTATTACGCATTCAAGTTGTGGGAACAGGCTCACCATCAGGGTAAAGGAAACTGAATGAGTTCTATTTGCGGAGAGAATTGGAGTGTTCGCATGCTGAATGAAAAGTGATTGCACCAAGCCAGATCACACATTCCATTGACAAATCGGCACCCGTTTGGCAGTAACAGCTTCTGTCAGGCTCACCATGCTTGATCTGAAATGTGTTTAAAAACGCTCTACAAGATCTTGGAGTCTATTCACAAACGGTAATGGACAAATTGAAACTAAAAATTTGACTTTATTAAGTATAATACAATCATGTCTGGCTCTGCACACTGCTTCTTACCTCCTTAACCCGCCTTTTGACACAAGCTTTTCTTTCATATTTTTGACAGATTTTGCAGTAGGAAAAGGGCTTTTGTTGTTTTCGTAATTTCACATCTTCATTAATACACATTGTTGATTTTTGTTCCTAGTCTTACACTGATAAAAATATTACACACATGAAACGTATTAAAAAACACGACAAGAAAAGGAAAACCAATATATTGCTGATATTAATCATGTCTAGGTTGTATTTTGTGGTGGATGTGTTGCCAGGGAGATTCAACTGTATTTCCTATGCTCTTAATAACGTGGCATTATTGCTGTCTTCACTCACCTCGTCGAGACATCTCTCATACTGCGTCCTCTGGTTTTCGTTCTCCACGGCCAGCGCTGAGTTCTGCTCCTGCAAAAGAACCATCCATAGGTAAGATCAGCTCTGAGGAGGCCGAAATGCTGAACACAGGGCAGACGTGGCTGTTTGCGAAAGGTCAGGCGTCCAGGTGCGGGATAAAAACCTGTGAAAGGTTAAGGACTTTTGGAGCCTGGCCTAATAAGAGAGATGCCCTATTGATCTAGCCGAGTTTCCAATTTGTCAGATGCATTATGGGCTGTCAGCGGTGGGGAACTTTGGCCTTTAGGATGAAGGCGTAAGGCCATGCAAACCGACGCCGTGGCAACAATGATCGAGAAGCGAGGTTGTTAATTGCAAGTTGGAGGGAATGTAAAAAGTTGCATTAAACATTGCAAAAATCTGAAGTAAATTCATGCATTTCACCTCTTGGCCAGCAGACCTCTTATCTATGTTTATGAACGCCGTAAGGGAAAAGGGAAAGTTTGCATGAAGTTTATTGTCTTCAAGGCCAGTGAAGGTTACTATAAGATATGCAGACGCCTGAAAATGCATAAAGAAAGCACCTCGGCTCATCGTCTAAAGTTCAGTCTCTAATAAAGCCTTTTCAGTAGCTCACATTCATGTTTTATCTTCTCAAATGTGAACACTAAGCAGCTCTGGACAAAGAATTTCATATAGTTTGATATTCTAGTGCTTGGCTGTACTCGATGAAACGTTTTCTTGTTTCAATTTCGCTAAACACATGGCCGTTTCTGTAGTATGTATTATGCAGTGACAGAAAGTTCCCGTGAGCCATTTTTATTTACCCAAGAGTTGCTTGACTAAAATTAAGTTAAGCATATCAGCCTATGGATATCAGCGTTGAGATGGGTGCAACGGACCAACCATACACCCCATAGATTAATTTATTTGGTGGCTCTGTTGAGACCATTGTCCTCATGATTTGGGAGTGTTGTAGGGTTGGTGGTCTGTTGGCCCTTATGGTGTGGCTGGTGTCCTGCTCTCACTCTTGTTCTTTCAGGCTATGTTTGAATAAGAAAGCGTCTGGTGTGTTTTTGTATGCCTCATCAACACAGTAGCCAGGCCAATTCTAAGAAATCTATAGCCATCAATAGCTAATGCATGACGTCAATGATAACAAGAGAAATGCCTTTGTGTCTGAGTGACTTCATATGTTGTGGAATTTTTGGGCTCAGTGCTTGTTTAGTGTCAGTTGGAGCACTGATGTATGGCCTGTGTTTACTGCTACCGCTTCAGCCGACAAGAGCATCCATCAGCAGGCAGCCAATGAAATCAGAGCACTGATAAGTCTAGATAAAGCCATTTAAATGTATTGTTTGGTAATGGCCCTCATTGGTCGCACTGTGGAAATGCGGAGCACTTGCTGAGATAAGACAAAGAACTGGGAATAAAAGTTACTCTATAGTTTAGACTTGTGGCAAATGGACTTAGAAGTTTTGATCTGTTCAGAAATATATGTCAGATTACGTGCGTTTAGGTTCATGTCACAGCTAAAGGCATCGGTAAATGCCTCATGATGGAGGGTTTTTCTCAGCAGAATCTAAAAATATTCACATGTGTGAGTGAGTGTTTCTTGTTTGCCATGATGTCTGGAGATTTCATGACACTTTGAAGCGACTGTGGTTAAAGTTAAACTCATCATTCTAGCAATGCACAAGGCAGTACTTTTCCACTACATGTTTTGGTTATCTCAAGGCCGAAGCAATTAGTATCGTGGTGAATACTGATTGGACGGTCTATGATTCTTCCTGTATAATATCCCAGTAATTGTCATTTTCTTTAGTTGGTGTAGGATGCATTGTCTGAAGAACTAACATTTACAGACAGAAGACTTTTCTTTTTTCCTTTGTTTTTTAGACAAAATTGAAAAAGAGAAACCCTGGTTCGAATCAGGCCTGCTGTAAGTTGCTGAGAAATACAGGTAGACCAATACCATTGTCCTCTTTGCATGGACATAATTTGGAACAATTGGATTTCTGAATTTGGACATCATTTGGACTGAATTGGATGGCTGAATTTGGACACTAATGCTGAAACATGTGATTGAAAAACCTGTCACAGAAGAATTCACTATTCGACACAAGAAATGCAGCCTGAAGAAATCCACACAGAAAGTGGAAGAGACTGTTTTCAAAGGAATTTCTGTGAACCACCCAAACGACTGATGAAGTTGGATATTTTACTGAAGATTGTTGAAGAGTTTCATGAAAGATCTGAACATGTTTTATGAGTTTTTGATGTATTGAGTTCTGAGTTTTCTGAAGTATCCTGACTTACACCGAGTTTCTGAAGAATTGAGTTATGATGTTATGTTGCTGTTTATAAATCCTGATGGTCACAAGTGAATGTGTGTCCAAAGAGGGGATGTTGGAGACACTTGTTTGGGTTATCTCAAGGCCTAAGCCATTGGTATCGTAGCAAATGCTGATTGGAGGGCAATGATTCTTGCTGTATAACATCACTTGCATTGTGTGAATCTTTGTTCGTGCTCATCTACAATTGTCTACAATCGACAATAAAACATGTCTTCTGTCAGAAAGACAACAATTTTCTTCAGATGGGAAGCTAATGCTAACTCTACTAATGAAAATGCATCAGAGCTAGCTAACACAAGTTGGAAAGGTCTAGTCACTGCAAGGGATTCAAACTTATTATAAAACATTGCATCAACTGTACCACTGCATAAAGGTGAAATCCTTTTTTGACATCAAAGCGGTGTAATGTAGAGATTGTATTTTCAACATTATGTCTGTTGCTCGGGGCATGGTTGCGACATAAATATGCGTGAAGAGAGACAATTTGGACCTGAAGCAGAGCTCAAGGACAAGCTGACATCACCTCAAGACAATTTGGCATGTTTTAGACTCGAGAAAGATAGCCCAATTCGTGCTTATCTCATTAAATTCTTTCATTGTAATTCATTCCGGTTATCATGGTTTACAGTCCATGTTCAATATATTCTAACTCAGTTTTCAGTTTTTTAAAATCTGTGAATCAAGTATCGAAATTACAACGCTTAAATGCTTGTATTATCTCAATTGTCTGTCATAGTTTCACATTGTAAATTGAAGTCCTGAAGTAAATTAACTTTTGACCAAAACTCTAATATTACGAGTTTCATCTGTATGGGGTTTTTTTTTTTTTAATTAAGACCAAAATAAAGTGATTCCCAAGGAGAACATTCTCATAGAGATGAGTTTGTATACATTGTCTTGTTTGACACATTATACTTTCATTTTGCACTCATTTTAGAATAATCAGCGTCGTAAAACCTCTTCTCAATATGTTTAAATGTATGTAAGGTACAATAATTAATTTCAAGAATCAATTAGTTACTCCTATTCCACATAGAGAAGGGATCATGGTTATAAAGTTTTGATGACTTGACCAACAAGGGGCTGGTGCTAAGTGTACCGGGTTCAGCTCTGACTGCCAATCCCCCGACCCAGAAATGGATAAGGGGAAGAAAATGGATGGATGGATGGGCGGGCTTGACCAGCGTACCTCCAGAGCCTTCAGCCTCTCCAGCAGCAGCCTGGCCTTGTCTTCGCCCTGGAGGTCTTCCCCGTCTTGGTCCGTTAGAAGCAGCAGCTCTCGGGCCGCCTCGCTCCTCGGCACGCTCCCCCCCTCGGCTTGGGTCCTCTTTTGCACCTCCTCTGACAGTTTATCCTGCGAACACCAATCATAGAAAGCTTTTAGAAATGACAGATGGCCATTAAAAAAGGTTTGGGCCTTCGGGAGCCCTCGTCCAAAAGCACGGTGCCGAAGTGACCCTGTCGTGTTTTGCCTTTGACAAACTGTGATTCGCTGCCAGGCTGCAACTTGTTTATTTTAAGATTCCCAGCATGTGCGATAATTAAGTAGCAGTAATAATTATATTGTAATGAGGCCTTGTCTGATGAGCGATGATCTGCAAAGAGAACACAATGTTGAGTCTGTCACTACAAAAGTCACGGGAATGAATGTGTCCAGGAAACCAGTGATGGACTGGAATGCGCTAACGTCCATTTTACAGTTCGAATCACATGTTTGGAATGTTATTATAAGCCATGGATTAACACTTTTATTTTCAGAATGAACCAGAGAAAGTGAAACAAGAACAAAGCACACCCTCGACAACTCTTTTATTCCCAAGTGAAGACTGATTAAAGGAATAGTTCACCGTTTTTACATACTGACAAATGTTCTTACCTTACCTTAGACTAGTTAATACGTACCTGTCTGGTCTTAGTCCGTGCGCTCTGTCATGCAAACGGAGCAAAAACGGGAGCACAAACGCAGCCTCCTCTGTATACTGTGTAGGACCAAAAGGTAGCTCGCGCTAGAAGCTACCAAACTCTTCCAAGTGTTCCCTATTAAATGTATATAGTTACGTGACGTGTTACACTGCAAAGTATAGTAACACAGAAATGTAACAGTCGATTTTCTCAGCGGATAAAACGGGTACTATATTGTGAGGCGTAGTAATCTGAGGAGCGCTACGTCCGCGCACTAACTTCTCTCCGTACTACAAGTCACGCTGCTTCTATTGACGGAAGTGAGCGAGAGAGAAGTCTCCGGAGAGAAGTTAGTGCGCGGACGTAGCTATACTATACTTTGCAGTGTAACACGTCACGTAACTATATACATTTAATAGGGAACACTTGGAAGAGTTTGGTAGCTTCTAGCGGGAGCTACCTTTTGGGTACTATACAGTATACAGAGGAGGCTGCGTTTGTGCTCCCGTTTTTGCTCCGTTTGCATGACAGAGCGCACGGACTAAGACCAGACAGGTACGTATTAACTAGTCTAAGGTAAGGTAAGAACATATGTCAGTATGTAAAAACGGTGAACTATTCCTTTAAAGCGAGGTGGCATATACTGTACATACAAGTGCATATTTTGGGAGGTGGGGGAGCCCGGAGCGGCAGGAGGAATATTCCATCCACGGTAATATTAGGGACTTCTGGCCCAAATTTGAAACCCCACCCTGGAGAACCTTCTTTCTAAAAGCTCCTGTCTCATGCCGTAAAATTAATGCATTTAATGTCCTTATAATGATGTAATAGCATTTTACAGCAGAAATTCAAAGAAGAAATGTGGAGACTTAATTTATTGGTAAATGATAAAAAAGTAAATTTCTCAAGAATGTCTTCGATTCTGATGCTTTGATTGTTCAATTGTTCAAATGTGTTGTTCCTAATCTTATGTGACATAAAAACAAGAACAATGAAGTGATCTTTTTCACTGTAAAACCTCTTGCATTGTACCGCCTCCTACAGCTAGCATAGTCAATATGAGAGTTATCAGGTCATTCTAATCTGGAACCTTGCAGCTGTTCAGATGTGTGTTTTCAGCAGACAAACTCAATAACTCCAAAGGGCAGCGGCAGGACTAGGTTTCCTCCCCTTCTCACAAGCACTCTCTCTGGAGATTATTAGCGAAGACCTCAATGTCCCAGTTTGAAAACCCAATAAACGGGCACTGCGCAGTTAGCTTCTGCACGTCACGCATTCACAGCTCGGGAAAGAATACCATCCAAGGCAACTTCACGTCAGCAAAAGTTGGAATGACAAATGTCCGGGGCATGCAATCTGGTGCTAGCATGCGAGTAGTGGAAAAAGCTTTTATGAATGCTCAAGACCTTGTAATGGAGATTTAATGAACAGTGGAGAGGATGAGCCCGGGAGAGAGGGGATTTGGAATGATACGTGAAATTAAAGGTATCATGGGCCAAAGTGCTTTTAAAGACGTCTTTTTGCAGACTTCAGCTTTTTATGACAATATTTATTATTATTGTATTGCGAAAGAGGGTTGTCAAATGAGCTGTTAACAAACTAGAACTAAAACTAGATTTTCAAGTCAGATTAGACATTCCTGCATTTTTTTCATTGTGTATAAATACATAATCACCTTAGGGAAAATACTATTATTTGAATTAGCACATACATCGAAAAGTTCCATGCAGTACTGACTAGTTGGTCATCATTCTGAAATATATGGATAAAGGATTTTAGCCTCAAAGTAAGGGAAAGTGCACGGATAGCATGCTAGTTGCGGTTAGTTTTAAAGTGAACAATAGATTGCATTCATGTTGTTCTATTTTAGTATTTCAGCATGTGTCAATCATAGACTGTATGTATTAACGGACGTAGCCACGCTTATCTCCGCCGTTCTAATTAATGGGCCAAAAATTGGGCTTTCATGGAGTGATTCAAAATGGCCGTGGGGGCTGGAAAATGTGAAAAAACACATAGGCGCATGCGTCAGCTGCACGAGCCCCATTCATTTAAAAGAGTGACTTCAAAAATTCACAGCGACTAAACTAGACTGGTCCAAAACACTCCCCTCAGCGTTGAAACACATGTGGAACAGAGCTTTGGGCCAAGAGCCAACTTTTGGACCATCCTGTAAAGACGTTTTCGAGAGGAAAGAAGCTGCTATATGTTAGCATTGGCTAATTCTTCTTCTGGGTCCACCCCCATCGGCCCGGGGCGGTATTGCAAGCATGTCAGCGCACGTCATTTTGGCCACTTTTGAGCCGGGACCCGCCCCCACTGGTGTCAATACAACTCAACTCAACTTTATAGGAAATAATATTTTTTGAAAGAAATGTCCAAATGTTTTCTCAGATCATCATTTGATAACCGGAAAATTATTCTTATTTCTGAAGGTCCTGTACTGGCACACAAATCCGAGAAATAAGCTGTAAACTATGACCTGAATCTACTGTTACTATAGTTACCAGGAAAGATGTTTCAGCTACCCTCCACAGCAATGTTAAACTCAAGACTCTTTGGATCGTGCTGATACTGTGGGAAAACCGACAGTATTTGGACCACAGCACTAAAGGTGAAATCTCCAAAGATGTTGTATTGAGACTATGCAGTATTTAAAAGTCCACACACACTGAAGGATGTGTGGATGGAGAAGGACCTGGGCTGTATCTCTGCTAAAAAAACAACAAAAAACACACACACAGGAAAGATGAGGAGTGGGACCCTGGCAGTGACCTCCAGCACTTTTAAAAAGATTTCTGGATATGTTTTTTTCATCTGGTTGCTTTTTTTTGTGTTTCGCGGAAAATAACAACAAACTATCTTTTGAGTGATTCCAGCTCTTAATGTGCATTTCTCTGAATGCTAAGTTAAGTGTTTGGGAAAGTTTAAAAAAGTGGATCATTTATCACTTTTGAAATGTCTTTAGAGATTGAAGAAATGGATAAAGCAGGGGCCAAGGGGTTATGGAAAAGTGTGAACAAAAAAAAACTATTTAATGCAATCTACCGCAATGTCCTTTTTTTTAGTATTTTTAGACACATAAACCATATATGTATCGTCACCCTATCCTCTAGAACACACACCATTTGTGTTTCCCTTTCACACATCAGTCGTGGGGATGTGAACCCGTCTCCATGGCAATGCTCAGACCTAAAAAGCTGTTTGAGGAGCTAAAGTTCACGCGTGAGCATGTTTAGAAAGCGGCTCCGCAAATGCCACACTCCAAACCTGAAAGTACAATCCCAACGACCTTTTCAGCAACAAAAATGATAAGCGTCTTTGAGTGTATAAAACCGATGCATTATTATTATTATCATTATCATTATGAGCCAGTGGAGCAATCAGGTTCAGATTTATTTCCAGGAAATAGCATTATCTCAACCCAACAAAGAAAAACGCTTGGCTTTTTCATATTTTTAGTTTTTTTGTTGTTGCTGGTTCCTTTGGGAAATCTCATTTTAACTCAATTTTCCCTCATCACACTTATACGTACCAGGACTGAGGCAACCTTGGACAGTTGGTCATCCCGCTCCCACTGGACCAATGGCTCTATGTGTTTGTTAATGTTGCATTTCCTGTTTGATTCTCCGATGTTGGTGACTGCTGTTGTGCCTTAGAGCTATACATAAATACATTGAATTGAATTGAACTCATTGAAATGTGAAGGATCAAAGTTAAGATCAGTCAAATCTAACATTCTGGGATAAATTAAGGATTTGTGGGATTTTTAAAAAGCCTAAAAGTGCAAAGTGATTGTTCATGTGTTCTTCCTGGAGCTGTGTGCTTTAATGCAGCTCCCAGAATCTGATTTTTTCCTCAAAATGTTCCTCAGCTGTGAAAGGGGAAGTGTTCAATCTACAGTCAGACAACTTTGAAATTTCCCCACTGTGGGACAAATAAAGCATGTCTTATCTTATCTTAAACAACAGGGCCACTTATGAGGCACATCTTTCTCTTTGCAGACCGCTCACACTTGCAATAGCAGATAAGATGTAAGTCTGTAAGCGTGCATCAGGGTGTATGTACCTTGTAAGCCTTCATGAGGTCCGCTGTGTCCAGGGCAGAAGGTTCCAGGCCCTGGTTCTGCAGCAGCGTCCGCACAGTCTCTTCCATCCTGCAAACATAAGTCTTATTTATCATTTCCGTTCATTTTGCCATGAGGTCGAGAAAGCAGAACGTATGTACAAACATGTTCATGGGGCGAAAACAACAATTCCAGGTTTGTTGTTGACATGGAACAATGATATTTACATGATGTGTGCTTTCCAGTGTCCTCAGCTGAGAACATGAATCACTGTGCGCAGTACAATTATAATCTCTAAACGAGTCTCTGCATGCATCCAACACTTTGGTGAATTAGAACATTAAGCAGCTTCCTTCAGCACCAATAAGAATGATTAAAGCTCCCATGTACTTCCTGTAAACAACTTTGCATTTTAGATCTCCACTTTGTAGGAAACTGAACTAATTTTAATGATGTAGGAATAATGATCCTTTGATGATGATGATGAATAATCATTTAGAATTTGGTACTGTACAAAATGTTGTCATTTATATGTCAATATGTTTTTACATATCTGAGAACATGTACTCTAGTGTGTGCACAACCAGGACCAATCTCCCTCGAGAGAACCATTGCACTTTATATACAGAGTAGAGTGTGTTCACAGTAAAGTGTCAATTAAAGTATCTGAACTTAAATTACTAGATTGGAAAAAAGATTTCAAACACAGACACACACACAAAGATAATGTGGATAAATATATTTTTGGCGACATTTTAAACGACAAAATCAGCCTCTGATTTGACCATTCTACTGTGACGCCAGTGACATAGAAAATAAAATGTCCTCAGTCTGAAAAAGCGACAGATTAAATCCCCCAAGATTAACATGGCTAACACAACACTTGATTTAAAAGGTAATCGTAAAAATAATAAAAAAATAAAACTTTTTTCTCTAACAATTAAACTTGAGGAAAAAAAAAGTCTGGTCTGTTTTCACATTTAACTGGTTGACTATATGAAAGTATCACTTTGTCTCTACTTTGTGTAAAAAAATAGAATGTCTTAATCAAATGTGTAAATATTTACAATAATCTAATTAAAATTAAAAAGTTTGGCCTTTTGTCACACTTTTGTGCCCTTTAGTGTGAACAAGCCCTGACTAAGATCCAAAGAAGGTGTAAGAAAATGCACTGGTCTGATATGTTTTATCTGATTTTTAGCTTTCAAAAAATAAATCAAAACATATTTATAGACATTTATACCATGTTCTGTGAGAATTCCAAAGCTAACTGCCGTGCACTATTTTCGTATATGCACACGTAGTCCGGTAAGTTTAAAATAAAGCTCTGTATCAGTCTGCCACAGTTGTTGCCATAGTGATTGTAATAGCTGGATCAAACAAACTGTCAACGTGACACGCCTTAGAAGAGGAACCCCACTCTGCTGCGCGTTGTGGTGTTCTATCTAGACATTAAAACTGCATAATGCACGGTCCTCGTTGTTTAAACCCTACTTATTTAATCAGGAAAATCTCGCTGAGTTTTCAGATTGTTTTCAGGCTTGACACACTATGCTCCTGCTTGGTTGGAATGTAAACCTGTGGCCACACCAGCCCTTTCTGCAACTGGTTTGACACCCCTGGTCTTGAGTCGATAATGTTACAAATAAATCAGTATTATCTAGATTGATAGATAGATACTTTATTGATCCCTGAGGAGAAATTCAGGTGTCCAGCAGCAGAAAAATATCCATCCAAGCAAACAATACATAATTCTAAAAGTAACAAACAATCGTAGTAAAGTGAGTGCTTTGCTCAAGGGGAACAACAATAACTGGTATTTGACATGTAAAACTACATAATGCACATATCACCTTCCAGTTGTACCCAAGAGTTTTCCAATTTCAGCAAAATCGTAACATCTTTGAAACGTTGCCAAAGCAAGACTTGATCCCAGTGTCCTCCAATTCCAATGTTCTTTAGCATCCGAGACAAGCCGCGGCCGTTTTCCGGCTCACTTTAAACAAATGTAGGAGTGTACGTATTTATTTAGGGCTTTAAATGAAGAGCAATCAGACCCACAAAACAACAACCGTGACACGCTGACCTCCCAGGCTGTTGTTGCAAGCTTCCATTCCGCGAAGTTATGCTAGCGGCCGCATGCAAAACAGCTTTGTAAATATACGCCTATTACAGACGAATCAGTTGTTTTGTCCTTTGTAGAACGGGGTCGATTGTGGTGGCATACAAACACGCTCCAGAGAAAGGGTGGTCTCAGTTGAAGCATTGAGGAATAGCTTTGACAGTGTCGTCAGCTGAAGGAAAGAAAAAAAAGAAAGTAAGCGGAGAAGCGATGTTTCTGTAGCAGTTGAAAAGTCGCAGCAGACAGCTAAAGTCCCTCTCAAAGTCGTTCTATGAAGTCGCAGTTTGAATATCATCTCCCAGTGATGCATTTTCATCCATCCATTGATCCATAGGGTAGCGAACCAATGTCTGGAATACTGAATATCTTAAATAAATAATCCATATTTTCTATTTAATATGTTCTAAAGTCTGGTTAAGCTAGTTGTTCTAATTGGATTTTAAATGACCCAAAAATAATGCATAATATCTTGTTTAAAACTCAAAATACAATTATTACCTGGACTTTAAAAACACAAATCTGATCTGGTCTGAGACAGTGCCAGCCTCCAAGAGTCCCCATGCGAGCCACAAAGTCTGGGGATCAGGTTTTAGACCGTTCAGAAGCAGCTCCATTGTCTCCTGACTTTTTCACAGGCTTCAGTGGACTCTACCGATAAAATAGATAAAATAGAATAAATTTTATCTAAATTCTTGTTACACTATTAATCATTTGTGTAAGTCAATTGAAACAAAAAATACAAGACAATATAAGCCTTACTAAAATGAAAGGCATAAGTATTTGATCAGGGTTTAAAGTGGTACAGTAATAATAAACGGCTTTTATGGTATACAAAAAGTCCATATGATACAGGTAATAGTGTATTCACATGCTTACTGATTTCTGACTGGAAAAACTCATCACAAAATAAAATGCATTGTCAAGTCTTTCTCCCATCTCTTTGAATGCGCCTGTACGTGCATTTGAAATGGAGATATTGACAAATGTCCCATATTTACTTCCACCACAACCGAACCAAGCGACTGCTGTTTCCGGGTCTGTGGGGGCGGTGACGGACAGCCTGCTCTCACAGCCTGCCGGTGCCCCGCTGAGCTCCGGAGCGTTCCTGTGCCATCTCCTAATTAGCAGACTGTGTTAATGACAACTCATCAAAGCGGATTTAACCCATTTACCAACCGTTTTTCACCTTGGAATACAAACATGCCACAATCCAATCATGGTGGCGTGCCAAGAAATCTAAGTCCAATATTTGGATCAGGGTCTTATCGGAATAGATGAAAATGTTTTGTATATTTCCACAGCCTATTTTCAATTTCCCTTTCTGCCATATTTTTCCCCAAGTAGATTGAATTTAGTAAGGCCAATTCTTTTGTTCGTGATGTGCTTTCCAATTTCTAAACTTCGTCTTGGGACAAAACAAACGCCTCTTCGTGCTTACGACCATAACATCTATTCCAGTTCAATTCAACTTATCTTTTATGCCACAGTGCCAGCCACCAGATGGGACTTTGAATCTACTTGCTTGGCCTGAATACAAATCACAACAAACATGTTTTTCCCAAAAATCATAATCATAGAACATATTTTCTTGCTGCTTGTTCCCCATGTGCACGGCGACCCATCGGACCTTCACGCCGCTAACTATCGAAGGTAGCAACGCCCTTGGTCCGAACACCTGAAAGGTTGTCTTTGTCTCGTGGGATTGTGACTTTTGAAGCGTTTCCATCACTAGCGCTTCCATTTCAAAAAGTCCAGATGTGTGGGGCATTGATGGATAGACTTTTGGGGGGCTTTTGATGGCCGTAGTGGGACGGGCAGCTTTGAAGTTGTAGCTGTGGCGCAGGGGGAATATGATTACTTAATGCGAAAAGAGGGGTGAAAAGAGGGGAGAGGACTGTTGGAGAGAATGTATTCAGAAGCCAAAGCAAGAGATTGGGGATGGAGTTCACACTTTTGGAGCTGGATTGCTGTTTCACTGCAAGATTAATGAAAGATTCAATGGGCAAGGTCCATGATTATTTAACCTGATCAACAGTATCAACAAGTATAAAGTATAAATGTAGCTCCCTATTCGACCACTGGAGGGAGGAGTTGAAATGACTACTGTAACTGCAAACATGCGGTTGCAGAGAAGTAAGTTCACAATTACCAAAACCCACTAATTTATGGGAATACTTTTGTTTTAAAGTGAAGTGTGATGTCACGGTAGTAAAATGACATCATACTTGTATGAAACTGAAATTGGAGATTTTAGACAGGAATTTATCCTATCAATACAGATGGATCAAAAATCCACTCAAGGTCTGTTTATGTAACAATGTGGTAACACAGTAAAAATAAGAAAAATCTTAAGATTTTTATAATATTTCTCCTTCAAAACCAAAAATAATGCCATCCATTGGGGTAGTAGTACCATTGTCTTTGTACACTTTATCATTACTCAAATACTTGTCATTACTTGGCATGGCATACAAACACATTTTATAAGCCTTTTGTACCATATCAAAACATTTAAAGTAGGGCGTTTAACGCATGTTCGAATGGCCCGCCCATGTATCCCATAATATCACTCAGAATGCTGCGGACGCATGCGTGTGTGAGATGCAACAGAGCAGGTCTCTGGGAATTCAAGTTTAAAAAGAATACGTGCGTGACCGCAGGGCACTTGCTGTTGTTTGCTGTATGAATTGAAGTCTGCATCCTTCGTAACCGCTGCGTTCTGACCCGGGGCAGCTGCGGCCACTCTGCATAGAGGTTCCCACCTCCAGCGGCTGTGAGCCGCTAACAACAACACTGTGAATGGCGCTCTGGTAACGTCAAATCCAAGACGATACACACCCAGAACTATTCTCTGTTGTTGTGTGCGTGTCTGTGCGTAACCTTTGCATGCAAATACACTGCTGAAGCTGAACTTTGGAGCCTCAGGAAGTGTTCGTGTCTCCTCCGTGTCTCCTCCTGGAACGCAACT